TTAAAATGATTCGAGGATCTTGATAGGTACTCTCGTTTTTCAGGAGAAGGCCGCGTAAAATGGCCTTTGGACCGTGACAGACGGAAGATAGACAACAACGGAATTGAGATAATAATTGATGATTGGGATAATAACGGAATTGAGATGAAACTTTTTTCGGATTCTTGAATGTTTAAAACGTAAAAATAATCTAAAAATTGATAATTCTGAGCAATGTACAGACAAAACTCTAATTTTATTTATATAGATTAGTACCTGTGGTGATTTTTATTAGAAATTTATTGAAGTAAATAAACAGCAAAGTTAAAAACCATCCGACCAGTGTTTTATTTAAAAAGTACGTAGGCCTATTTGATTGGCTTTGTTTTCTGAACTAAAATATCTATTTCCTGATCTATTTTTAGTTCCTGGTTTCGAAACATAATTTGGCAAAACAATTATTTATTCATTAAACAACTTGATCGAAAAATAATTTCTAAACATTGGAGGACAATTAAACAACTTTTGAATTCTAATAAACTTAGCTGCCGTACCTGTGTTTTACAACGGAGAGTATTTTGAAGAGAAAAAGTTTGATACACGTCACATATTTCAAATCCCACTCCAAACACGTCATGTTAAAACGTTTACATCCTTAAATTAAGAAAGTCACAATCTCCAATTAACAGGCCCGTAGCAAAAGTTAAAAGTTTCACAAATCGAATCGTTTCTACCTTTTGGACCGCAAAATCAAAGCACTGCATTGACAGCATTTACAGCAGACTTCGTTAAACATTCTGTTATCTACATTCTTCAAAAATGTAAACATTGTGAAACTTTGGAATCCCATGAGGCGTAACTCAAAGAAAACACAGTAAATGTAATCGGTATATTTGTTAACCAGGTACAGGGCTACCTCTTGAATTGATATAGATAATAAATCGAAAAATAAAGAAATATAAGTTGATTGATTAAAGGCTCTTACAATGCTTGGAAGCTAAGGATTGATTAAAGCTCTTACAAAAGGGTAAACAATCAAGGAAAATGATTTAATTAAGTAACCACACATCACTGAGTCTATATCTTCATTCTTTCTTGTAAAAATCGCTTTGATTGGTTCTATATAAAATAGGGAAGTAAGATTTCACTGTACAACGAGCTCAAAAAGCTCGAGAACCAGCAATAAGATGGAAATAACCGGCAGAACCTTTAACCATCCACTGGCTCGCTAGTCGCTACCCCAGGTCGGTCGGTAGCCGGGTAGCCCATCAATGGAACCCGTTAGGCCCGCCCCGACCTCTCGCCGCAAGGAGACAAGAATTTTGCCTTGTTCCACGCGCCTTTGATTGTTTGAGGCGGGAAAACTATTTGTGTGCTACGGCCCGTGCAACACAAGATATTGTTTTCGTATTACTTGGCCTTTTTCCAAGATGACCGGGACCGTTTACTTATTTTATAGACTCCCTTGGAGAATAATTCAAAACTACAAAGAACATTTCTAATCCCACAGTATAATGGCTATTTAAATTATAAACACCTTGGTGTTTGAAAAATATTTTTGGACGGAAAAATTTTGCAGCTATATTAAAATCATCCAAGATGGCCGCTTGCCTCCAAGGACTCAACAATAGGCCTAATTGTGCGACTATGAAGCAATAACTTCCCACCTTGTGCTTGCGAATTAGTTTGGTACATATTTGTATCCACAGTTGCCAGGACGACTATTAAGACGACCAAAGATTACATTGACATTTAGGTATTTAATCTGTAGAATAGTAATTGTTAAGTAATCTGGAAGACAACTAATTAAAATGAAGTGCGAAAGATGGGTTATGAGAGTGCTCAATTCCTGAAGCATAATCCGTTTGTTTGAGGTGCGAATTTTCAAGCTTGTAGAACAAATAAATATCACAAAGTAGAAGGGCAGGGGTGAAAGTGACAGGATACCCGGTGGATTTTCAGTGACTGGATTCCAGTGGTATGCGGTAAAATATATAGTGACTGGCTTAGCAGCACAAATTTTACGTGACTGGCTTTCCCATGCAAATGCGGTGGTGACTGCATTAGCATAGCATTTTTTACGTAATTATATTTTAGTATTTTTAAGAAAAAAAGAGATATATACGTTCAGATATGTCTAGGCTTAAGATATTTACCAATATATATAATATATATATCATAGTCTTGAAATATATTGGGGGGTGCAACTGACTGACTTCCAGTGTATATTTTATGTGACTGGCTTCCCGGGCGCGGCCGTGTATATATATATATATATATATATATATATATATATATATATATATAGACTTATATATATTATATATATGTACGTCCGTGAACGCGATAACTTGAGTTATTTTTGTCCGATTTTGATGAAATTTGGTTTGAAGGTGTAAGGCAGGATAAACTTGAATGAGTTCGCGAACCAGCACGATCGGACCATGGGAACGGGGCTTTACGGGGGGTTTTATGGGGTAAAAATTGGTTTTTCTCACTTTTGACCCTCAAAACACAAAATTTCCTGATTTCTCTTTAACCCTTTCAGTGCTAGGCCAATAATTCATATTTTGTAAGACTTTTTTGTTTGCCTTTTAATTCCATTACCCGTTGTTGAATTTTAACTGTCATGTTGTCACTATTTTATTAATTAGGCTAATTTTGAATAATAACACAATAAGAAAATATATAAGAAAGATAAATCCCGGTATTTGTAGTAAACATCAAATAAAACTTAGTTTTTGTTGTAATTTTCCTGGTTTTCCTATAAATTTTTATGTTCTGATAGCATTATTTGAAACCGAAATCTCACAAAATCAAAAGACATATTATAGTTTACAATGTAATATTGAATTTAACCCTGATTTAGTTGGACGAGGTTATTGTAATATAGCAATTTTAGGGAAACTAATGTTTTGCAGCAAAGTCTCAGGAACACATTTACTACTACTAAAACTAAAAGATTGCATCTAAATAGTCCGTGACTAGCTGGTGCTGCTACCTAGTAACGCATTGAACAACTATCTGCAGCGCCATCTGTTCGCAATCGGTGGCGACAGCTTAAATACCGGGTTTTGACTCCCCAGTCTTCAAGCACAGATAGCCGAGAAGGCTAGGGCGTGTGTCACTTGGCCAGTGGCATTCGTCTGCTCGGGTTCGAATCCCGTCCTGTGTGGAAAATAATTGGTGACCTGTGTGTTTGTAGTGATATACTACAACCACTGGGGCATAGTGAGGTGTTCATAATCCTTGGTTTAGACATACACCTCGAAATCATCGGATTGGGCGAATCTTTTAGCTAAGTGGTTGGTAGTGTATCCTATGAACATGCAGGTCACCAATGGCCGTTTTGCTATTTTTTTTAAATAACCTTCCTCTCTATATCCCTTAGGGTTTTTTTAAAACAACGATATATTGTTTCATAGCACTGAAAGGGTTAAACCGTTTTAAAGAGCTTAAAAAAACAAATAATTTAGTATATAAAAGTATTTTTATTCGATTATTAGTAACAGAGAAAATTAAAAAAATTGTAAATTTAAAATTCCCATGTTATTCTTATGGAGAATATTGTCAAATGTTGTAGTTTGCTTGTTTATGGATATATTTTGATCAAACTTGGCAAATTTATTTATTTTGTTCTAAGCTATCAATATTTTACTCAAAAACACACTTTATTAGTTTCCTTGTAGCAGCAAACCTAGGTACTTGTTAAACCTAATGTTATTAAAATATATTTAACTGAAAATCGATTCAACAGACAAATTCGCTTAGTCGGCAGGTTTGCTGCGGCGGGGGTATTATATGTGTATGTTAGCGCAGATAACTCGAGTAAACATGACCCATATTGATGAAATTTGGTACAAATGTGTAAGCTTGCGTTTATTTGTACGAGTTTGCAAACTTGCATCGTCGGTCTATGGAAAGGCAATTTTTTTGGGTGAAAATTATGTTTTCTCCTTTTTGACCCTCAAAACTATGACTTTCCCCATTTCTTTCTGAACCATTTTGAAGAGCTTAACAAAAAAAAATTAGTATTATGAAGTGTGTTTGTATGTTTATTGGTTATGGAGAAAATTCAAAATACTACAGTAGAACCTCGATTATCTGGGATAATGGTGGGGGGGGGGGGGGGAGACCATGGATAACTGAAAACCACTGTTAATCCAACATTACATAAACATAAAAGTATTACAAACCTATAAAAATGCCTAATACTTTACAAATGGACATTAATATGATAATATATTACATTTTACACAATCAAAATACAATTAGTACTTATGACGCAATCATAATATGTTAAGTCAAGTCATTAACCTTGATTTAGTTATAAATACCGCAACGTTTAAAATCACAACTTGCTTCCGAATCCATCCTAAGCCCTAATACCCGTCACTATATGTCAAATATCCGAGTTTTTCGGATAGACTATGTATTTTGACTGAAAACAAAGTCTTCATAACCATCATTATTTTCCCATTCATTAATTACAACATTACGTTTCCAAAGATCAACAGCGCCGTACAGTAATCATCTATGAAAAATATCAAAACATTCATATGAGCGTCGTCGGGTCATTGCTGTGAAAAATAATTGAATGAACAAACAAAAATACTGTACGGTAATAACAATTGATATACAGAAGAACCTCGTTAGTTACGACATCTTAATAACCCTTAAAGATGTCATTGCTCCAGCTTGTTTCCTGTACATTCCTTCTGTCCTGTAAGCCAAGTCAATAGTATATCTCATACATGGTTATTTGTGCTGTAATTGCCCTATCCCTTATTAAGTTCTTCACGTTTGATTAAATTAGACGTAGGTAATCTAAATAGTCTACAAATAACATAACCCAGTTGATCTTATCCACCAACGTGATTGGAAAAGACTCAAATAGCTGTTTTTTTTTTTTAGAATACAGTACTCATAATGAATAATTAATCGTTCATATCTACAGGCTTTTACATTTACAGTGATATTCCATTATATTGTGTTCTTGATCGCTTTATGTTTGATTGCAGTGCTGCGTGCCTGAAGGCTCGGGACTGCGGGAGTTTGTGAGTCGAGCCCCAAGGGTACGTCTGCATTGCACCATGTTGCGACACGAGGATGACATTGCTGCCAACTGTTACACTCTGTATCTCGAGTACCTGGGGGGGTTGGTACCACTGCTCAAGGGAAAGCGCACCAGTAAACTCAAGCCTGAGTTTGTCATATTTGATCCCCAAGTCAGTGGTATGTGTCATACTTACAAAATGGTTTTAATAAAGTTTGTTTTAGCAAATTTTTCATAAAGGGAGTAACCTATAACCGTAGGTCTCACAGTAAGACCTAGGCCGGAACCGATTTACTTTTTTGTTTTAAAGTCCGCAGAGGCCAAATCACCAACTAATCAAATTCACACAAATTTGTCCGATAGCAAGATAACTCAAGTAAAAATAATCCGATTTTGATGAAATTTGGTTCAAATGTGACATGTGTAAACCTGCATTTACTCAAACGAGATTTCAAACCAGCATGTACGGACTATGGGAAAGGGGTTTATAGCTTTTCCCATTTTTTACCCTCAATCCATCAAGTTTTGCAATTTCTTTCCATACCATTTTGTAGAACTTAAAGAAACAAGTAATCTAGAATGTTGAAACTTGAAACGTTGTTTTGCGCTTAATTAATTGTTACAGAGATAATTCCAAAATACTGTAAATATGTAATTCCCCAGTTATTCTAATGGAGGATAAAAACTGTTGTAGTTTTTTCTTGTTCATGAACATATTTTGATCAAATTTTGAAAAATCAGAAAATGTATTTATTTCATAATAAACTATTTACATTTCACACAAAAAAATACGTTCCCTGTAGCAGCAAACCTAAGTACTCGTTGAACTAATTAATGATGGAATATCATCTGAAAATATAAACTGGTAAATTGAAATTCGCTTAATCTGCAGGTTTGCTGCAGCAGGGGTATTTAATTTTACTACATGAAGACACTTTTTTATGATAATGAAGATCCTTTCCCCCTCTTATCCATTCAAAACAAGACAGTGTGTCTCATTGTTGTTGATAACCTACCATCTTACATTCCTAAAAAAAGTATGTTTTAAATTGAAACAATTTTGTTTTCCTACAGGTACCTAACAATGTACATGTTCTCTCACTGATTTGAGAAAGCAAAGTGGCCAATTCGCTCATCAGTGAGACAATGTTAACATTGTCTCACTCTAATTACTTTGTCTCACTCACTCGAGATTTGCAACGTGAAGGCACGAAATAGTGAGCATGTAGCATGCAGACAAGGTCGTATGCGCGCGAAATACGTTGGCAGCACTGGCTGTAAATCAGCTGTTGTACTGTTGTATCATTAAATGTCATATTAAAAGTTCATTTCTGTGTAAAAATATGTCACGTTTCTTTACCAATTTATTTGTTTTATGGTTACTGTTGGAAAAATATAATGTGCAACTCGAGTGCAAAGTGCAATTGCCTCACTAGAGAAACCATTCCTCACTCGCCTACGGCTCGTGAGTAAGTATTTCTCTGAAGTGAGTCAATTGCTCCCTTTGCTCACTAGTTGCACAAATAACTATTTTAAGAATAAGAATAAGAATATATATTACCCTTTAAGCATTTTACAGTGCAATAGGTAGTCATTTGCTACATAATAAATTGCTACATAATAAATTGCTACATAATAAATTGCTACATAATATTAAAATGTGTCTAGATGCCAGTTGCTTCTCTGCTCGCATCCTGGTCAATACAGGGGGAGGGGGAGGGGGAGGAAGTGAGAGGGAGGACAGTGAGCCTGAGGAGGGATGTGGCAGCCCTCGACTGCCTCGACGTAGCCGCTCTAGACCTCACCCTCAACATCTCTACGCCGACACACTGCCAGAGGTGAACATAAAACTCTTATTTGTGGGTTTTGATATTTTACTTCTTTGACTTACTTAAACATATTTTTAATATTAGGTAGTTAGTGATAAACAAGTGTTGCATGTTTTTTTTTTGTGGCACAGGGCTGTAAATAATAATGGTTGCTTCATCGCTGGGATGTACAGTGTAATGTTCGTTTACTAGCAGTAGTTTCACAAAGAATTCAAATTTCATTGATTAATTTATAACAATTTCAATATGGGTTCCAATGTTGATAAGATTGATGATGTTAACTAACTAACCTCACCTTCCTGGTCCTGAGACATGTTTTTATTTCTGTTAACCTCACCTTTAATCCCCCTTGTGATCTTCTGTATACTGGGTCATTATTATACCCCTTAATGTTAGCATTATCATCTCTTCTTTACAATGACCAGAACCAGCATCCCAGAAAGACCCTGTATCTCATTACAGATTTTGCAATGGTATTATTGTATTATTGTATCTTATTTCAGCGATTTATCAATCATGTTAAATTTTCTCATTTACATCCTTGATAGACAAGTTTTAAATTTTCTAAGAACTTTATTTGAAATCTATAAGGTTTAACAGAGATTTAAATCACTAGTAGCATCTTGAATTCTTATTGTTAATATTGGTATTGTAGTTTTGTAGTTCTGATTCTGTGTTTTAGAAGAGCTAAAAGCTTTGCACATATATTAAACTATTTGTTTCCTGCATTTAGTACATTACTTCAAGTTATTTTTAATTTCTGTCAGATAAAGAGGCTTGTTATGGAATTTGTTAGGGTGTCAAACAGTCGGGGATTTTGAAAGGATAGGTAAAGTTGTGGAAAAGTTATGGATTTCGGCACTAGATTGGAAATAAACTAAATCACAAAATTAGAGATTCATATTGAACGTTGGTGATTCCACTGCATCACAAGTGACAATGATGACGTTTCCGTGATCGCGAAAAATGTCATCGGTATTGCGGGTAACAATGATGATGTCACCGCAATTTTGAGAGATGTTCCGCGAACCCAGTGGACAATGATATTGTGTCTTTGATCACAGATATCTTCATACTCGGGCCGTAACCAAGTAAAAGATGGCGCCAAGAACACGGGACATGTTAATCATGGTGCTGTGACCATAGAACATGTTGACAATGGTGCTGTGACCATAGAACATGTTGACAATGGCGCTGTGACCTCGGTACATGTTGACGATGGTGCTGTGATCGCGAGACATGTTGAAAATGTTGCCGAGACTAAGATATAGAAAAAGGTGCTGTAAAAAGAGACTGAATGGACCGAGTGACATGGTGATGAAAAGTCATGAAAATGTCAGAAATTTCATTAGTGAAATCTGGTAGACTCCCTGATGATTGTATTTAATTTTTTCTTATTGTTTCTTTATAGTTTAATTTAAAATAGTAAAACTGTATAAATTTGTTTGTTGATATATGATAAAACAATGAATTCAATGTTATTTCACTGTGAGATGTGGTTACAGGACTCCAGGCTGGCCGAGGTGACATCTAACATTTGGGGTACAAAGTTCCGCATCCACGGAGTGTCACAGGGACTAGCCACTAATCTGGGACAAGTGACATACAAAACATCTCTTCTGCACCTGCAGCCCCGCCAGATGACATTGCAGATGGCGGGGGAGGGACCGCCAGACCCCGTACCTCCCACACACAACCTGTCTGAGGATGAAGAGGAGGGAGGAGAGGCGCATGGTGCACCGATAGCACCTCTCACTCGCACACGATGTCACAGAAACAAGAGCCCTCGCAATGGCAGTAGCAGCACCAACAGTGCAGAGTGTTTCATGACTAGAAGTTCCTTCCGGGATTGTGAGTGTGGGGAAGGGGATGAAAGTGGAGTGGCGGTGGTGGGGGACAAGAGCAGAGGACGAGGGGTTGTTCGCAGTTGTAGTGTTGGATATTTGGACCTTGTGGAATCAGGTGCTAGTAATAACAGGTAGGTGTCACATCTGCTGAACAATACAATCTCAATCAATCTATAACATGTTTTAGCAAATTTCCCATATGTTAAATTTGTTAAATTTTTTAAAAAAATGTTAAATTTTTAACAATAAGCTATTACCGTAGTACTCATGGTAAGAGATGGACCCGGGACCGATTTAATTTTTGTTTTAAGGTCCTTAGAGGCCAAAAATAAGGTCCTTAGAGTCCAAAAACACCATCCGTTCAAATTCATATATATGTGTGTGTGTGTGTGTGTGTCCGTTAGCGCGATAACTCGAGCAAAAATGATCCGATTTTGTTGAAATTTGGTACAAACGTGTAAACCTACGTCGAACGAGTTCAGCATAATCGGACCATGGGAACGCAGGTTTATGGGGGGTTTTATGGGGTAAAAATGGGGTTTTCCCATTTTTGACCCTAAAAACAAAAAATTTTGCAATTTCTTTTCTAACCGTTTTGTAGAGCTTAAAAAAAGAAATAATTTTGTATATTGAAGCGCTGTTGTATGCCTAACGGTTACGGAGAAAATTCAAAAATAGTGTAATTAAAAATTCCAATGTTATTCTTATGGAGAAAATGAAAACTGTTGTAGTTTAATTGTTTATGGATATAAATTGATACAATTTGGCAAATTTATTTCATGATGAATAATATGATGTATGGTCAAAAACACTTTTTACCTTCCCCGTAGCAGCAAACCTAAGCACTCGATAAATCTAATGTTATTTAAATTTAAACTAAGAATAAATATGTCTTATTTATGGAAATATTTTAAATGTAATCAGACAAGTTGAAATTCCCTTAGTCTGCAGGTTTGCTGCGGCGAGGGTATTATTGCTGTAGACCCAGGGCTGCTTTAGTAAATGGGCCCGGAGGTTGTAGGTTTGTTGGGTTCGCAATGATGAGAAAGATTCCCCTGCAAAGAAGTAGAAAGGAGGCACAATTATTGCTCGGGCCCATAGCGCAACACATGTTAGACCCTGTACACATGGGAGCGTTGCAACGCGCGTTACGTGTCGCACGTTGCAACGTGCGTCCTAGGAACACAGCAATCAAATGAGTGTGTACACATGCAACGCCAGTGCTTCGGCCAACGCGCATTGTGACGCGCGCCTGAGAGGTTCATCATGCAACGCACGCTTCGAGTTACGAAGGTTCTAATGGGACCGTACACATGTGAGCGTTAGAACATGAGTTTTGGAGTAGAAGGGAGTAGGTTTTGTTTATATTTACTGTGTACTTCTATATACAATACCTTATGGTAATTACGAGGTTCTCTTCTGTTGAAATCCAATCCCTTACAATGCTCTCACAAAAGGTGCTAGACTGACTTTAACTTTTGTTAAATGAAGCAACTAGCATGCTTTAGTAATTAAAAAGCTTACTTTCATATATCCTCGATTAGGTTACAAAGTAAAAAAACACATACAAGCTAATCTTTCTTGTAAAATTGGATATTCCAAGTGTTCTTAGGGAATTTTCCCCGGCACGGTTACCTGTGGGGACCGCTTTACTTTTTCATTTTTATATCCACAAAGGCCAAAAACATTATTAATTTAATATTTTATAATTGAAATATTAAATTAAGCTGCAACGGGGGTATTTTGATTTTGTTTTCGTTCTTTATATCTATGGTACAAACCCCAAACAAAAACTACCTTTTCGACTTTTATGGCTCTGCCGGGACGTACCATTAGAGAATTGCTCAAACGCGCGTTGCAACGCTGTCATGTGTACGCAAAGGCTTATCTGAAGCTCCCAAGTGTACGTAGCCTAAACCGTGGCGCTGTATAGACCTATATTAAAGTATATGATTTTCCAATCTTTTTTCAGTAGGCTCTGTCAACAACGATTCAATACAAAATAATAGGTATTTTACTACCGATGACTGCAACTAAAATTGATTGGGCATCTTTATATTTTATATGGGTCAAAACTTCAAGAAGAAAATACCCCCTTCGCAGCAAACCTGAAGACTAAGTGAATTTCCATTTGCCTGAATTGATTTTGAATTAAATCGATTTAAATAACATTTGGTTTAACGAGTACCTAGGTTTGCTCCTACAGGGGGGCTAACAAAGTGGGGTTTTTAGTAAAATAGTACAGTAGTAGCTTAGTAAAAAATAAATAAATTTTCTAAGTTTGATCTAAATATTTCCATAAACAAGCAAACTACATTTTACTATATTCTCCATAAGAATAACATGGAGATTTTAAATTTTTTGAATTTTCTCCGTAACTGTACAAAAACACTTTGGTATACTAAATTATTTATTTTTTTAAGCTCTTTAAAATGGTCTAGAGAGAAATTAGGAAATTTTGTGTTTTGGTTGTCAAAAATGAGAAAAACCAATTTTCACACCATAAAACCCTGTTCCCGTAGTCCGATCATGCTGGTCCATGAACTCATTCAAGTGTTTATCCCGCCTTACACCTTCAAACCAAATTTCACCAAAATCGGAAAAAATTACTCAAGATCGCGTTCACAGACGTATATATATATAAGTAAAATAATAAAATACCCCTGCCGCAGCAAACCTGCAGACTAAGCGAATTTCCATTTGACTGATTGGATTTACACTGAAACGTCTACTTAAAAATATAACATTTATTCTTGATTTAAATAGAATTAGTTTAACAAGTACTTAGGTTTGCTGCATCAGGGAGGGTAAAACTGTTTTTTTTTTGTAGAATGTGAATAGTTAGTAAGAAATAAAAACATTTTCCAAATTTGATCAAAAATGTTCACAAACAAGCAAACTACAACAGTTTACTTATTCTCCATAAGAATAACATGGGAATTTTAAATTTACAATTTGTTGGAATTTTCTCTGTTACCATTAGGCGCATAATAACGCTTCAATATACTAAATTATTTGTTTTTTTAAGCTCTACAAAATGGTTTGGAAAGAAATTGCTAAATTTTATGTTTTTTGGGTCAAAAATGGGAAAAACCTATTTTTACCCCATAAACCCCCGTAAACCCTCCCATGGTCCGATCATGCTGGATCGCGAACTCGTTTGAATAAACGTACGTTTACACGTTTGTACCAAATTTCATCAAAATCGGATCATTTTTGCTCGAGTTATCGTGCTGACGGACACACACACACACATATATATAATAAATATATACAGGGTGTTTCGGTAAAGCGTAGCGGGCTGTGCAGATTCAGATTCTAAATGCAAAAATAAGTCGAAAATATAGAATAACTTATTTTCGATTTCGGCTTAGTTTAGCCGTAATCCGCCATTTTGTATTTTTTTTTTTAATTAATAACTCATAAACTCTTTGAGATATTTTTATGAAACTTGGTATACACTTTTAGGCTACAAGTATTAACATTCTCCGAAAATATCTTTGATCAGGCTCATCAAATTTCAAAATGGCGGCCATTTAAAATTTTAAAAGTAAAATTCAACTAAAAACACCCATTAAAACAAAATCTTAAATGGCCACCATTTTGAAATTTGATGAGCCTGATCAAAGATATTTTCGGAGAATTTTAATACGTTTAGCCTTAAAGTTTATACAAAGTTTCATAAAAATATCTCTAAGGGTTTTTTCAATATTAATTATTTTCTAAAAAATACAAAATGGCGGATTACGGCTAAACTAAGCCGAAATCGAAAACAAGTTATTTTATATTTTCGACTTATTTTTGCATGTAGAATCTGAATCTGCATAGCCCGCTACGCTTTACCGAAACACCCTGTATATATGAATTTGAACGGATGGTGTTTTTGGCCCCTAGGAACCTCAAAACGAAAAAGAAAATCGGTCCCGTGTCCAGGTCTTACCATGAGTACTACGGTAATAGCTTATTCCCTATATGGGAAATTCGCTAAAAAACCAGAGGGGATCACATCATTTGTCCGAGTTTTCAGTTGTCACGTTTGTTAAAAATAAAAAAAAGGAAAATCAGTTGTCCGAGGTTTGATAAATAACTAATAATATTTAGATAAATCAACTGTCCTAGTTTTTATTTGTCCGAGGTTGGTGTAAATAATGATAATCTTTGGTTAAATCAACTGTTTGAGCATTCATTTGTCCGAGGTTTTAAATTATTAAAAAAAATGTTGAAATATCAACTGTCCGAGTATCTTCAGCATCAAAAGTGACACTGCCGCCGAGACTAGTGGCTCAGAGTCCTGGTCAGAAACCGATGAGAACCTCTTCTGTGGAGGAGTGGGGGGATTTTTGTATTTTTATTTAGCCTTCAACCCGAGGCCACACTAAATAAATAGGCCGTAATTCTCCTCTGGCATGACGTCATCGTAGGCGACGTCAATGACGTCATTTTTTGCCGTTTGTGATCAGCTGCTTGTTTGAATCTTTTCTCGGAAAACAAAAATATAACTAAAGAAATAACATTACGTCATTGTTGTCGCCTATGATGACGTCATGCCTGAGGAGCATTACGGCCTGATTATTTAGTGTTGCCTTGTTCAACCTCAACTAAACTAAACTAGTTAGTTTTACTTCAACAAATGTATGTTCAGTAAAGAGTGGATGTTCTGTGGTAGACTGGTGCTGGTGAGACAGGCGCGGCCGCCTCGACTAAGCCATTGTGGTAAAAGTCGCAGCCTTGACTCATCAGACATGAGACTAGGACTGGCAGAGATGATCAAACCTGCAGTCATCTGTAACCAGCCTCGCAGTCAGCCTGCCAGTCCGGCTCTCACAAAGAAGAAGACTAACAATAACAACATCACTTCCTCACCCATCAGGTATGAACCACCAACAGAGACTGACTCTTAATTTAATTTTGCTCACAAAAAAAAAAAAAAAAAAACAGTGAATATCACATAGTTTCCTCTTTTTACTTGTTATTTTTCTGTACTTCAATTCAGTTGCAATTATTGATCAAAACCATTTTTTTACATATACTGGGTAGTAGTGCTGCATGGTTGCCTAATAAGGATTATAGATTAAAAATCCATTACAGTAGAGTTTCGATTTTCCCACCGGTTATCTGACCTTCGGTGTTAACTGACCCTCCCAGCAGATAATTGAATACAGTGAAATTTTGTCTTGTTTCACTTGTGCTATTGGGTGTCCGACAAGACTGCTCCTTTTGTCACTTCTGACTGTACTCGGAGGATACTGGCTTTAGGGACCTGTAATTTTTTTTATTTTAGCTGACTGCACACCACACAGTTTGACCAGTCCTATACAGGGTGGTAAAAAAGTCCCTGGACAGTTGAATATTTTTAAAAATAATGCAGATAGAGCTATAATACTTGGTACAAAGTTACAAGGCATAAAACTCTATTTTAACACATATTCAGTGATCCAATAACCCTTCAGGGGGACGGCCCACAAGGAGTCAGAAGAAAATCTTAAACAGAAGCATAGGTCAATATGCACATCAAATTAAAGGTCTTTTTTTGTAGAATACAATGCCGCAAACCGCACTTCAAAAGGTTGATCCTGCGCAAAATGACAGTTGTTCAAAGATTCATTTAATTTACATTGCTATTATACGCTCTCTCCTCAGGGGGCACAGCCCTAAGAATCGGAAGAAAATTGTTAACGTAAGCATAGGTCGATATGCACATCAAATTAAAGGTCTTCACTAGTAGATTACGATGCCGTAAATTCAAGCTCAAAAGAATGCCTGAGTAAAAAATGGCAGTCGTTCAAAGATTCAAAATGGCGGATTCAAGAAATCTTTGAACATCTGCCATTTTGCGCAGGATCAACCTTTTGAAGTGCGGTTTGCGGCATTGTATTCTAATAAAAAAGACCTTTAATTTGTTTAATTTGTTGGGTGACATGACCTGTCACCCTTTTTTAAAAGCTCTTGGACGTTTTTAAACAATTAGGAAAAAAGGAGCAGCAATAGAAAGAAAGATTGATCAAATATGTCAAAGGTGAAACAATATTACCTGCAATATGTTTGATAACTCTGTTACTAAAACCAAAAATATCTTCACTTTTAGAAGTTTCAGAGATCTCATTATTATTTAAGTACATCAAGATCACTAACATGATGCAACTTTAATTTCTCCGGAGGCTGGTCTACATTGTTTAAAAAGGTACAATAACTCAAATTACCTTTATAAATTAATTTAGTACCATCAAGCATCTTTTTTCCAATACTTACTAAGCAATTATTAAATTCATTCGCTGAAATAGGTGGAATTGGATTTTCCCGCTGATAGTAGTTACCAGCTTCTGATTTAATTACCTGCCATGCAGCTGAACACTTATTCTTAGAACTTTTTATTCTGCTTTCATTGTGCATGATTTTGGCTTCCTTGATTTTGGACCTATACAATTCATTTTTTTCTATGTAGTAGTTCTTCAGTGCCATGTTATTTTTATAATTTTGTATCTTTAATAAAACCTGCAACAAAATTATTGTGCTTCTCATTCTTCTTAAGTTATGGTCAAACCATGAAGAATTATGTCTAAATTTGTTTTCTTTGTTGAACTTTTTTACTCTTTTTTGGACAACTGTTATTATATACGGTTGATAGTTTATTTACAAAGTATTCAAATGCACAATAATTAACATCCTCAATACCATACAACAATTCCCAATTTAATATGGAGGTTGCTTCAATAAACTCATGCAAAGTCTCATCATTTAGTTTCCTATAAGGAATATTTACAGATTAGGGATCGGAGGTAGGCACATTAAATTCAAAGTAATGAGATCCTATCCTTCCATATACATGTTTTATAAAGACTATTATCTAAATCAATAACTATATTATCAATACAGGTTTTGTTTCCAGTTGGGAATTTATTTACACATTTTATGTTTAACTAGCAGAGTACCCGTCCTTCGTACGGGGTTGGAATATAAGTATAAAATGCTTATTGCAGTTATGCTCAAGCTTTGCGTTTGCAATAAGGGAGGACACAGTTTAATAAAATTTACTTTTTTAAATTTACAGTATTCTATAGTAACACATCTACCATAGCCATAATGTCCTACCACTTTGCCTAAACAATGAGAAAAATAAATTATCAACAATTCACAAAATATCACAAATTATTCATGAAATGAAAAACTTAAAAAAACTTTAAACAATCCTACTTTGACAGTTCTCATTGCGAATCACAGTTTTTTGTTGCTGCTTAGTTCAAATTAGCTGTTTTCATATAATATGCAAAAAAAATATAGTGCTGCACCCTGTTGGTAAATCTTATAACTTTTTAATGCTTTTCCATATCATAGAACCAACTTTTTTAGTTGAAACAGCTGACTAAATTCTTTAATTCCCTTTAAATATGAATACACATAAGGTTAACATGGGGAATTACAGAGCCACTGGGGCGGAGCCCGAAAGGATTTTTGAGATAAGAATATGCCTATATGTTAATCGGGAATGTAAGCTATCATCATGCCAAATTTCAGCCCAATCCGTCCAGTGGTTTGTTAAACAAACAAACAAACAAACACACAAACTTTATTATAGCACATTTATAATATTAGTAAGATGACTTTAAAGTGGTTAACAAACATTACAGTGTCTTGGAATGTTAATATTAAAATCGCCCCCAAGTACAATTTTCCATTTAGGTTTTTTTCTTTGCACGTAGCATAGAAGGTTGTCAAGATAAGCAGAAATGTTTTACAGTTAGAGCTGGGAGTTCTGTAAACAGATATGAACACTACATTAAATATATTTACATTATACAAACAACTTCAAGGAAACCAACTTCCGTTAAATGAGCAATATTGATCACCTCAAAAGAAACCTCTATTTTAAATGCCCAATGTAAACAATGACATCGACCCGGCGCTACTCGCCGCGATCCAGACAGCTGTGGAAAAGGCAGTTAGAGCGGCAGTTGAAGCGGCATTGTCTACCTTCAATGACGCGATAAGACAACTGCAAGACGAGGTGTCAACGCTCCAGAAGAAGGTTGAAGATATTGAAGGAAAACTAAACGATAGAACTGACGAGTTGGAACAGTACACACGCCGCAACAACATCCGCATTTTCGGAATACAGGAGTGCGAAAATGAGGACACTGATGCTCTGGTGACCAGCATCTGCAAAGAAAAGCTTGGGATCGACCTTCCGGTAGACGCCATCTCGAGATCTCACCGAGTCGGCAAACACCAGGAGGCGGGAGAAGACGGCAGGCCTCGTCATCGGGGGATAATCGTCAGGTTCACCACATATCGAGCTCGGCGCATGGTGTATCGTAACAAAAACATATTATTTTGATAAACGAAAGGTCATAATGAGACAGTGTTTTACATGGTCTTTGATTTCATTCGTCTTTTGGGAGAAGAGGGTCGATCTTAACCGAACAAGTCATCTAAAGTCTCATCACCAATCTTTAAGAATAAGGATTTCTTTCTTGCTCTTCTTTGTTACAAAGGGTGACATCCGTTATAACATCCTTGTCTTCAGACATGGAATTGAGGCCCCTTGCAAATTTTAAGCAGGCAATGTTGCATTTTATTCCTGCATTCCAACAGAAGAAAGATAATGTACAACCTCTTTTACATATGCCCGATTGTTGAAAGTTAACCCATTGGTGGTAATTTTCCATCCTCATCTCTCTGGATTTAATACATTACTCCTTCAAATCTGCACAGGTAAATGAGCTCTGAAGGATTCACCAAGTCCAAGGCAATGTCACCAAGTCAAAATTAGTTTGTGAAAGAAGTCAACCCTCACTTGATTCAGGGATTTGCTGCTCCCACTAGGGTGGGCTGAAAAATATCAATAAATTGTTTTTGAGCTGTAATACCTTAAAAGTTGCCAAATTGTAAGACCAAAACAGGGTAAAAATATTAAAAATATCGGTTGTTGTCTTCCGGTCAAGCATGTGCCTTAGAGTTAAAATAAAAAATAAAAAACTCATTTTTTTAAAGAAATTTTTATAATTATATAATTTTTAATATGTAATAGTTGAAAATGTAATCTACAAGACACTAAGGAATTGATATTTCAATAATACTATTGTATGTTAAGATCTTCAGGTCGCGCATCGGCTGTAAATATTGCCAAAAATCTAGAAAAACGTCATTTTGTGCTAGACGTATTTGTAATATAATTATTGATAAAAAAATATAATACCGAAAATCTGCTTGTTCACATTCAGATAGTAACTTAACAAAAACAACGAATGAATTCAGAATTGATCTTCCGGTTGCGCATAGCAATATAAAATTTCTTGAGTGCGGTACTATCGGGTCAGTGACCCGAACGACGTCGTGTAGTTCTGAAGTTAAATTTTCCGAAATTGAAAAACAATATGTTGATGAATGTATTCCTGTGTTCATCAACTGAAATTTAAGCTTGTAGTGACAGCAACTAAGATGTTTTACCTAAACTTCCAAAAAATAACTCCTCTGGTATGCAAATGAGGATTAACTCTACTGCATTGGTTAGCGATCGTTAAGATGTTTCCGATCGGGCTACAACTGCAATAGCCTCTAGCAGTCTCAAAACGGATATATATCCACTCAAAACTCAAACTCTAAAATTTTGACAAAAATAATATGCCTACTTTTTCCATATAACAGTTACTATTCAAAAGCTATTGCAAATTCTCGCCGCTTACCCATGATGATAAAGGATGTTGACAAGCTAATGGGAGAAAGTATGTGTCAGATTGCTGATATCGTTTGTTTTGATCTACATTTAGATTTAACCTATTTTAGCACAACAAAGCATATTGAATAAAGCTAAAGACTTCACACTAAGTAAAATCTTTATTTGGCTCTGCCTCATCAAAATTTAAGACTAACCTCACACTAAGTAAAGTATTTATTTGACTCTGCCTCATCAAAATGTGGAAGTGGTAACAAGACTAACCTCACACTAAGTAAAGTATTTATTTGACTCTGCCTCATCAAAATGTGGAAGTGGTAACAAGACTAACCTCACACTAAGTAAAGTATTTATTTGACTCTGCCTCATCAAAATGTGGAAGTGGTAACAAGACTAACCTCACACTAAGTAAAGTATTTATTTGACTCTGCCTCATCAAAATGTGGAAATGGTAGCAAGGCTCATCCCACACTAAGTAAAATCTTTTTTGGCTCTGCCTCATCAAAATGTGGAAATGGTAACAAGGCCCAACTCAAACATGTAGTCTACTGAGACAAACTGCTGGATGCATTAGCTGTGATGTTGTGCTGACTAAAATTTACTGGACTTTTAATGTAGTGAACATTTATTGGTCAAAATATTGAATACTAGTGTACTGGAAATAAAATAATGTAAGTACACAAAATAACTTTTGTCCTGTCCTAAAAAATATTGATCTGTGGCCTTATTTAGCTTTTTCCAAGGTTTAAGAATCCACAAGATTAAGTCAAGTCCTGCAACAATAACTAATCAAAACACTACTATATTAGGGTCATAAATTTCCAATGTCATTTGATTGAATATACGTAATCTACATTTGCAATATTTGTTCTAGAAAGCGTTTGCTCAATTCACCATTACTGAGTCGTCGTTTACGTAGACGTCCAGACAATGATTATCAGGATCTAGAAAGTTTTCAGAAAGCACAGCTAAGGAACAAGGTAAGTGAAGCGTTATTTTTAGGTTAGTGTAATAGGAGGTCTGCCTAGTGTCTGATTACTTGAGGAAAAAATCCGTCAATTTAAAAGTATTGGTTTATAATTATTGTAAATACAGTTTTTTTTATATATCTATTATAAATATAGATTATTATAAGCTCCAAACAAATTTAAATATAATATTCTACACAACTATGTGGTAGGTTTATTTATTCTAAAACTTTGTCATTAATTATTTATTCTTAAACTATTTAATTGATTATGGAAATAAAAAATAAAAATTCTATAACCGTTGCTGTATAAACCCAGGCTCTGCTTTTGATTTATCAAATTGTCTAAGTTAAGAAAGAAGTGTTATTGATATATTTTTATGTAAACAGTAGAACAATACTTTTATGTAGGTTATACTTTTTTGTATAAATTTGGTGGCTTTTGTCCCCCATGCTGGGGAGCGAGCTAGTCTAGTGGTTAGAGCGCGGGACTCCGGTTCCTGGGGTCCTGGGTTCAAACCCCGCCAAATTACCAATGTTCATAAACAAGCATGCACAACATTTTCCATAAGAATAACATGGGAAGTGAGTATGCAGGTTTGCTGCCACAGAAATGTAAAAATGGGGGATTTTAGGCCATAATCAAGTATATCTCTACTAAATGAAGCCATATACCAATTATTATTAAGATATGCTGAGTAATAAGCTAGATATACAATTTTATTTTTTCCCCATAAGGATAACATGGGGGTAGTGGGGTCTTGCTTGGGGCCAATGTTCTGTGTTTTCCACCTTCAATATCTCGGTAACCAATGGTCATAGAGCAATGATTCAAAACACCAAATTGTTTGATTTTTTGAGCTGAACTCAATGGTCTAAATTAAAATTTGATTATTTTACTCTGGAAAGAGTTATTATTAATTTAACAAATAGATGTCACACATGGCGGCCATCTTGGATTTAAGACGTCATAAAAACCAAACCCCGCAATTTGAGGGTAAACACCCGGTACTACACCATTATGTGACATATAACAAAGAGATTCCACATAGTCACACATTCCCTTCACAAAAAATCCCACGGAATACAGTTTGCCCCCCGACTATTAGCTATGTTGTCATAAATGAAAACAAAATTAATAGTGCTGCATCCTGTTGGTGGACCTTATAACTTTTAATAATATTGAATATCATAGAACAACTTGTGTAATTGAAACAGCTGACAGAATTCTTTAATCCCTTTAAATATGAATACTCATAAGGTTAACATGGGAAACTCCAGAGCCACTGGGGCGGAGCCCGAAAGGATTTTTGAGATAAGAATATGTCTATATGTTAATCGGAAATGTGAGCTATCATCATACCAAATTTCAGCCAAATCCGATCAGTATTTAAAGCGTGATTGAACTTCAAACAAACAAACAAACAAATAAACAAACAAACACACAAACTTTCACATTTATAATATTAAGTAAGATTTAAAAAAATTGAAATTGATTACGTCCAAACCATCCAAACATTTGACTAAACAACCTTGGTAAGTTTGGCTAAAATATGTCCAGCCGTTATTGAGTTTTAGCGTTATAAAGATTGCATTTAAGTTGATCCTAAAGAGCTTTGCTTCGCTCCGCTCAACTAATTACTTTGGTTTAAATACCATATGGTTTTTATATGTGCAAAAAAATGAACCTCCAGTAAAACAACTATAGGTTGGCCGCTTAAAAAGCGACGTCCTCTTTCGTGCGCGATAAATGCTCGTGCAGGTCTATCTATTTGGCCGACCTATAGTATCCATATTGTTTAGTTATTTTTGACTTGGTTTAGTAGTGTTTAAGTAAAATTTTTCATATTTACTAAATTTATTGTTCCTTGTCACACTTTTCCTAATTTTTAAGCGATCTTGCAAATTTTTCTGACATTCTTAACTGCAATGACATCCCGAAAATACCACAAATTAAAAAAATTTGATCACAAATTTCTTGAAAAATTCCTTTATTTTTGACCGTTGCATATTCCTTCTTGTACTGAGCAGAATTTTTGTAAACTCTGTCACTTTGACTGAAAATTTAAATTGTAGACTACTTATAGTTTTAACTTTATCCTTAGATTGAGGTGACGGCGAGGCGGAGAGAATTTGTGATGCATAACAAAGCTCCAATGTGGAATGAAAACAGTCAAGTTTACCAGCTAGACTTTGGCGGCCGAGTGACACAAGAGTCTGCCAAGAATTTCCAAGTAGAATTCAGAGGAAAACAGGTAAGATATTGGGAATTAGTTGAATCCAAAACTAATTAATTACATAGTTTTATTCCTTTCTCATTGTTTTAATCAATGGGATACTTAATACTTAAATACTTTTTTATGAAATGGCGACCATACATAGTAGGCATTTTAAGCCAAGTATGAATAGAGATGAGTGTAGGATGAGTGGCACACTCATGTATGGATATAAAGTAACATGGTGTATTATAGTTACAGCTTTTGAGTGACAAACTTATTTTAAACGTAATGATAGGGGTTATATTTATGCCTAAGTTGGTGCATTGCAGGTGATGCAGTTTGGCAGGATAGATGGCAACGCCTACACTCTTGATTTCCAGTATCCCTTCTCTGCAGTACAGGCATTTGCTGTAGCGCTGGCAAATGTTACACAACGACTCAAGTAGAGAAGTTACACGTTCTCGGATCATTCGCTCATTAATTTGATAACAATTTATAAATATAACCAAGTAGGCGATATTTGGAACTCAGTAATGGAAAGAATGTTTGTTACTTTATTGAAACTTGAATATGAGTGTTAAGTGTAGTGTATTAAGTATTAAGTGATTTTTAAAACAATTTTGAGATGTTAAAACATGGTTCAATGACATCTGTGTTTGGGAGGACTGCTTCTATGGTTTTGAGCCCAAAGCTGTTGTTTTGTTACTTAATCTACTTTCTTGTGCAATGAAGTCTAGTCAATATGTTACATATCCATCCATCTACGAGGCGGTATAGAGGTAACAGTTCAGTAAACAAATTTTCTACTTTGAAATAACTTATTATGTACTGTACAGTATAATTAATATTCATACCCTCCACCCCATATTATCATAATAAGTTTTACAATTTGGGTTACAACACCTTGAGGAAGGAAGGAAGCTTTAATTGTGTACCGCAAACCAATTTTCGTTTGATTTAATTACCTTTTAAAATATAATTTAGTTAGTTTAACTTACAACCACTAGATCATATTATGTTGTGCTTAATTACTTTGTTTCTACGAACTGTTATCTTAAATGCCAATGTCAATCTCAACGAATTCCATCATGGCCATACGTCCAAATATATTGTAAGTACAGTATTGTTTTTTACCCAACTGTCCAACTCTAGTTCCTATTTTGGTTATGTGGCTTGTCTCTGTTAAGTTGGTATATTAATGTTAAACCGCTTGTATCCCACGTTGATTGTTATATTTAAATATTATGTATTATTATTGAATTCAGAACTTGTATTTTTTACTGCCAAGCAGTGTCGCAAGTTTCATTGGATAATACAATCCAACCATTTTTTATTCTTATCCAACTCAAACACTTGTTGATCAAATTTTTTTTACAGCACCGGTATGGAATGTGACATACTTATTTTTATTTTCAGTAGTCACAGTAATTAATTAGAAGTGGTGGTCAAACCCCAAGAATTTCAAAATTTTTTCACACTCTTTTAAAATAAGCTCTTGAATCTATAATCTAAGATTGAATTCTGTGATATATACTGTGGAAATTGATTCTCATCTCATAGCTATTAAACATATTTTGAATCAATCCCAGAATCAAACAATGACCGTTCACTCTAGAACTATTTCAATTCAACCCTTAAATAGTAGTATTTATTTTGTAATCTAGTAATATAGTTGATCATCATGCTAAATTGAAACAAAAATAATAGAACAAATTGTATTTTAAAATGTTTATATACTTATTTAACTCATTAAATTTGTGTTATTTTAATTTTAGTAAACCTGACTTATATTGTTTACTTAGGCCTGCTGATTTTAAATGCCGATATTTTACTGTAGCTTCTTCATACTCAACATGTTCACAAAAATAGTGTATTAAAAATTTTCAATGAACAAAATTATATAGTAGGCCTAAATTTGTGAATTATTCTCATTGTACTGTATGTGTTGTGCTGCGGGCCTGTATTTATAACATAGAGGCAAGATGTGGTCGTTCACAGGCAAACAGCCAGTGTACCTAAATATAAAATCAATTCTCAAATCCTCAGAACTTCAAGAAAAGGTTTCAAGCCTCCCACGACGCGAGGCGTGGTTCCGTGGGACATAGGCTTCAGATAAAAATAAAGGAACGTAGCTTTGAAACTGGGAGGATACATATCACAAGTTTAAGCTCTTATTGGGGCTTGATCAGCAATACTCCACCCACATTGAAGGTTCTATACTACGGTAGTCTTGCTTTTTAGTATTTAAAAATAGGCCCTCATGTATATAAGGTTTGTACATCTAAAATGAATTGTAAACATGAAAACCCAAGACAATATTGAACTATTCTGCTTTATAATTGAAGCATAATACATTGTTTCAGATAGTTTTTTTGTAAATATATTACAGGCCTACTTTGCTGTCCAATAGGATCTGTTACACTTTCATAAGAAATGGGTAGTATTATGTATTATGTAATACTACCTCAAGTATTATATGACTATCAAATGATGTACCAAAAATTTATAAAAACTGTACTTCAAATGTTTAAATTCAGTTTAGGTATCATATTTTTTTTTAAAGCACAGAAATTAACTTAATACTAATGAATAACCAAAAAGATGAGGTTGAGATTTTTAATGACTTCTAGTCATACCGTGTAGCTATTGTTTTTCTTTTTGTTCATGGTATATGTTGGTAACATTTTTTTTCATAATACCTTATTATATTATTCTAGGTAATTATTTTAAAAACCACCAGGGTTTTATTAAAATTTGCTTACATCAGGAAATAAAGATTTTGTGGTAACTAATTTCACAGCCATAGAGAGTGTGATTTCAACCAAGTGTATGACTGAGTCAATAGCATATGTGCACTTTCAAAATACATAAAATATATAGTGATCCCTTTTTGCTAGTTAAATTCAAGTAATAGTAGTTGCGCAATATCCAGTTAACATTAAAATTAGCTAAAAAAAAAAAAAACTTTCCAGGATTTCAAAGTTTATTATATAAAAATATGAAAATGTTTAAGTGAATACTGCAAGAAAGATGCTTTAAAAGTTGTCAAATAAAATAAGTTGTTTATAAACCTTGGAGTTCAAAAACTGTTTTGAAAATATAGACGGGTTTTTAGTACCTATCAATATGAAAAAATATCTAGACAAATTAATATTACAATCAGAAAATGTAAATTTAATATGATTTGAAATCTAGAAAACTTTTATAGTTTAAAACTGATAGTAACTAAAAAATTAAATATATGAAAATAGAATCATTAACATTCCACAGTTAACTATATTAACTACCACCATCCATCAACAAAGTAAGTGCTCTAGTTACATGGTGTAGTTTTTACTTAGGTTTCCTTATCATAATTTAGTAATTGGTTAAGGTTGACATTTACAAATGTTCCTAGCTTATTTTGACAAAGGGCAATTTTAAATAGTTTATTTTTATTACTTATATCATCACTTTGGTAGTCAAGTTTGTTTACACAACCTTACACAATAGATCAATGCTTATTACATAATCTGAAAACACATCATGTGAGGAGTGAAGCTAGTGTAATCTCCAAAGCAACCATCTACTAGACCAATTTATTTCATTTCATTGGAACACTTTTTTAAACAAGATTTTAATTTTTTAGAAATTCTCTTGTCAAAAGGACAAGTAAAAGATAAAAATCTGAGTATTTTTGACAGAAATAATCAGGCCTTGTTTAAACATGGTTGTAACTTAAAACTTCAATGAGATGGCTAGAAGTAGTGTAGTAAGTTATTTGTAGTTAATTTGAAAATCTGTAGCTCAAGTATATCAGTTAAAGTGCTCTTAGACCGATTTGGCTTTTTGTTCATAAACATATCCGCATGTGTCGATAGAGAAGAATAATTAGAATATACTTTTATTACCTGAGATGTGAAATTGTATATGACAAAGTAAAGGCTTTTCTTTCATTCCTCAAACCAGAGAAAACAGATTTTTCCATTTTTCTGCTAGAACTGTATTTTTATTCTAGTCATAATGATGAAATTGTGTTATTTTAAAACTGTTACCGTAGTTAAGTTTTACTTTGATCTGTTTGTCATGTGTTATTTATACTAACTACATTATTATATACCTATATTAACAGTTTATTTGTTTTGCTTCCCATGCTTTTTCTTGTTATGTGATGACGCCTTGTTATGTTTTATGCGATGGTTTAGCTCGATGTTGGTTATTTGTACGTTTGGATGCAAAATTATACCTCTTGTGTATGAAAATTTGAATAAAAGACAACTATTCCTAAAAATGTTTTATTTGTCACACAACCTTTTATAAATAGCCTGGATGTTATGTTTATAATTTATCAATTTAACTAATAGTATTGCAATGTCTGATTCAAACCAGAGATATTACCAGACCCAGGTGCCATTTGTCATCGAGCTATCAATTAATGATGCTTTCTAATAAAAGTTCAACATTAGATGGTAATAAGGCCAGGGTTTCGATCCTTACAAAAAACCAATAAACATCTTTAAAAAACCACTGGCATAAATGAACACCAGAATAAACATAACTGTTTTGTATGTGGACAAACCTGTAACTGTACAATGTGATGCGAGTCAGTTTGGTTTAGGGGCCTCTCTCTTGCAGGGGGGTAGGCCAGTGGCATACATATTCAGAGCACTAAGTAAAAATGAATCCTTTTATGCACAGATTGAAAAGGAATGCTTGGCGGTTGTTTTTTCTTTGGAAAGATTTGAACAATATATACCTTTTCGGAAAACTTGACGAAACAGACCACAAGTCTTTAGAAACAATTTTTAAGACACCTTTAATGTCAGCTCCCAAACGACTGCAACACATGCTTCTTTGCCTGCAAAGGTTTACATTCAATGTAATTTACAAACCAGGAAAAAGCATGCTGATAGCAGATTTTTTGTCACGTGCCCCTATGGTTGGACACAAGCAACATGAGGATAAAATGTACATATATTTTCCTCTGATACCTTGAGAGCTCTGAAAAAAAAACAGGTTCAATCCAATACCTAATGTGACCGATAAAGGACTGTCACTGGTCAGAATTGATACAGCATCAGACCTTACAATGATGAAACTAATGGACGTTATTCAGAAAGGGTGGCCTTCTTCCCGACAGTTATCAGATGATCTGAAAGCATTTTGGCCATTCCGTGATGAGCTAGCAGTTGAGGAGGGTATAGTTCTTAAAAGAGAACAAATTGTAATTCCATACAGTTTAAGACGAGATTTAATCAAAGTTATACATTCATCTCACCAGGCTCCAGACTCATGAATTAGGAGAGCAAGGGACGTTTTCTTCTGGCCGTGCTTAAGTAAAGATGTGAGAAATGCTATAAGCTCCTGTAGAATGCCTATGCTCCAAGTAAAATATATATATATGAATTTGAACGGAGGGTGTTTTTGGCCTCTGGGGACCTCAAAACAAAAAAGAAAATCGGTCCCGGGTCTAGGTCTTACCACGAGACGTACGGTAATACCTTATTCCCTATATGGGAAATTCGCTAAAAGATAGCCTCTCCTGCCAGATTCGACTCCAGAAAGGTTGTGGCAGAAAATTGCCATTGACTTCGCTCAGGAGGACTCAGTCCATTAATTTATCGTAAGTGATTATTATTAATCTTCTTTGAAGTGAAGAAAACTTCAAAATATACAAGTGAAACTCTGATTAGCTTCTGCTAAGAGCTGTTTGCAAGATATGGGATTCCAGAAGTAGTGGTTGCAGACACCACTCAAAGCTCAAAGTGTCAATTTAAATCAAATAAAAAAAAACCACCAGTATTAAACCAGTATTAGGTTGTAAAGGGTTAGTGATGATGTAGTTGTATTGGTTGTTAGATTGTATTATAACCACCATATCATCATCATCAAGCAAATGGAAAAGCCGAATCACCAGTTCAGATTTTTTTTAATCTATTGAGAAAATCTCAAGATGATGGGTTGGATTTTTATCAGGCACTTCTGGAGCTAAGGAACACACCACTGCAAGGCATAGGGTATAGTCCAGCCCAACTGCTAATGAATAGGAGAACACAGTAACAGCCAATCAATTCAAGCATGCTTTTACCTCAAGTACCCAACAGCGTAGTTGCAAAATGGGATCCTAAAAAATTGAAGTATAAGAATCAGTATGATCGT